GCTACGACAGCCGGGGCGGTGCCCGTGGTGGCGGCAACGCTCGCGGTGGCCGTCGCTTTGGCTGGAAGGATTACGACAAGCCTGCTCGCAACCGTGATGCTTCGATCAACATCAAGCCCAACTGGACCCTGCTTGAGGAGATTGACTACAACCGTCTTAGCAAGCTGAACCTCGAGACCGACGAGGGTGAGGACATCGACAGCTATGGCTTCGTAAATGCCTACGACCGCTCCTACGACAAGCCGCCAGTCAAGAACTCGGAGCGCAAGCTTCTCGCGCTTGACCGTGCTGCTTACAACGTCACAACCTCTGTGGATCCTATCATCCAGGAGCTTGCTGATAAGGAGGAGGCCACCATCTTCGCCACCGATAGCATTCTCTCGATGCTCATGTGCGCCCCTCGCTCTGTCTACTCTTGGGATATCGTCATTGTCAGACAGGGCAACAAGGTCTTCTTTGACAAGCGCGACAATGCCGCTCTTGACATGGTGACCGTCAACGAGAACGCCGCCGACGCGCCGCTCGAGGCTTCCGAGGGATCCAAGGATTCCATCAACCAGCCCACCGCGCTGGCGGAGGAGGCTACCTATATTAACCACAACTTTGCTAACCAGGTTGTGCTTGAGCAGCACAAGGTCAGCATGGCGCACGAGAACCCCTTCTACTCCCCCGAGGAGTCTGTGCCCCCCGCGTCCAAGGCCTACAAGTACAGACGGTTCGACCTTTCCACCACCGAGGAGAACCCCACATATCTTATCGTTCGCACCGAGTTGGATGCCGTGCAAAAGAGCGCTCTCAACAACGAGAACCAGTTCGTCACTGTCCACGCTCTCAACGAGTTTGACAGCAAGGCTCAGGGCAGCGGTGGCGGTCTTGACTGGAGGTCCAAGCTTGTGTCTCAGCGCGGTGCTGTCGTCGCCACTGAGATGAAGAACAACAGCTGCAAGCTTGCCAGGTGGACTGTTCAGTCTATTCTTGCCAAGGCTGATGTCATGAAGATTGGGTATGTTTTTACCTTTTGTGTACAACTTTGGGAAAATTAGGTGGCTAACTTTACTTTCACTAGTTTCGTGTCTCGCGCGAACCCCAAGACCAATGACAAGCACGTCATTCTCGGCGTTGTTGGCTGGAAGCCCAAGGACTTTGCCAACCAGATGAACCTGCAGCTGTCCAACGGCTGGGGTATCGTCCGTACCATCGCCGACATGGTTCTCCAGCAACCAGAGGGTAAGTACATCTTGGTCAAGGACCCCAACAAGAACATCCTGCGTCTCTACCAGGTCCCTGCTGGGAGCTTGGATGACGAGGAGGAGGAGGTCGTCGAGCCTATCCAGGAGGCGGAGGAGTAAAGCTACTCCAAGGTGGACGAGGAAGAGGTACGCGGAAAGCGTAAAAGGAGGTGGGGAAGTCCTTTGAGGGCTACTCTGATGAAGAGCATTATGACTGAAGCGGAAACGGATATGGGATACCTCTATGGTTATGAAAAGCCAGCGTTTTTCCGGATCAGCATTCAATAAGGGGGGGTAAAAGCGGACCATAGCGTCAAATGCAATACCAATTCACTTTTCAACCACATCTGCAATTGTGTGTGATACGCTGATTATTGGGAGAGTCGACAAGTCGTTGGAGCTGTTGAGAATCTGTGTCATCTGTAATCGACTTACAACTATGTTTTTGAGGTCTGTGTTGTGTATAAGCCCCTATTTCTGACGCTTATAGGGGAACTCTTTTTGATACCTCAGATCTTGAATGGGTAGGTCAAACCTGACAAGACTGGAGTTCACTCTAGTCTCTTGAAACAGCCCAACCAATATAACAAGATATTATGCGTGTAGCACTCGCTCAATGCTTTCTTTGTGTCGGTTCATTTTCAAGCCTCGCTTTGATCTTCAAGTTAGCGCACGTGACACCGCGCAGATCTAGCGTGTTTGCTCCCCTCCCCCCAGTGGCGGACAAGTGCGCCACCCCTCCAAAACCCCGTCGCGTTTCCCGAGCGTGTGTTACCCTCCCAACTTTTTGGCCAACCCCTCCCCAAGCGAGACGTTGCCTTCCCTCCGTCCGTCCGTCGAAAAAAATGGCTCCCGCGAGGATATCGAAAGCCAAACCGAAGACGGCTGCTACCCCGAAGCCGAAGCTGAAGCAAAAAACGATCACGCCGAATAAACCGCCTGGTGCGCGGATGAAGGTGCAGCCTGTGTCCAAGGGGCCAAAGGTCAAGGCGAAGCCGAATGCGAGTATCCTGAGTTATTTCAAGAAGACGGAGGATGAGGAGTTGTTTATTGGGGGTGTGAAACCGGAGGAGGAGGAGCAAGAAGAGGAAGAGGATATTTATGGGGCGGAGGATTACGTCAAGAGACCGGTTGAAGGGGAGGTGGTGAAGGAGGAGGAAGGGGGGCAAGAGGTGAGATATAATGAGAATGGGGGGTCGGTTAAGAAGAGGAGGTTGAGTCCTGGCTTGGGGGAGGAGTCGAGGGCGAGTTCAGCAGACACCGAGTCGACCACAGCCAAAAGAGAGCAGAAAGAAGCAAGAAAACCACCTGCGAAGAAAAAGAAGGTTCCGAATCCGTTTCTGGACGACTCCTCTTCTGATGAGGAAGAAGACAACGATGCGAGCGATAACGACTCGACGACTCCATCAAGGGTGAGACCTACCCTTGCGCCTGCACACCCTGCAGAAACTGTTTGCGAGACTTCTACCGGCGACAGACTTACCAACGGGACCAGGATAACAAATAGGGATGACCGAGATCAAGAACGAGAAGTAAAGGGCAAGGCGCCTCTGCTACGACATGAGACATCCGCAGCGAACTTGACGCCAAACCGCGAGCCAGCAGATGAAGAGACGGCTGGTATGGAAGAGTTTGGCGACGAGGGATTTGGCGAGGATTTTACTGGCGAAGAACTCCAGGCCATGCGGGATATGGAAGAACAAGCCTTGCTGGAGGGGTATGAAGAGTTTGGTATGGACAGGCGTCTTGATGAGGAGATGATGGAAGCCTGTCCCATCTGCGGGGGTAGTCTAGCAGGGGCGTCAGAGCAGGTGGCCTCAGAGCATGTTAATGCTTGTCTGGATGGAAATCCTACGCCCTTGCCGCAGCCAAAGCCACCACCCACACTCGAAGAGAACAAGGAGGTTGATGGTGCTGAGGTGGGTAAGAGGTTTGCGAAAGCGGCTGTTCCAAGACCAGGACAGGCGAATCCGTTCAGCCTGGGCGAGGAGAAGGCTTCCGCCGGCAGTTCGGGTTCGGCGTTTGCTAAGCTGATGTCTGGCCATGCTGAGGATACTGCCTGGGCAACAGCCGCCGCGGCAGAGAACGCATCAAGAGGTATGCCGGCGTATAAGCGGACCTGCCCTTTTTACAAGATTATGCCTGGGTTCTCGATATGCGTTGATGCTTTCCGGTATGGTGCTGTGGAGGGCTGCAAAGCATACTTTCTCAGTCACTTTCACAGTGATCATTACATTGGTCTCACGGCAAACTGGTCTCATGGCCCGATCTACTGCAGCAAAGTCACAGGGTCGCTAGTCAAGACTCAGCTAAGGACGGCAGCAAAGTATGTCGTCGAGCTTGAGTTCGATAAAACTGTCCCAGTTCCACATACCAAAGGGGTCACAGTGACAATGATCCCCGCCAACCACTGCCCCGGTAGTTCACTGTTTCTGTTTGAAAAAGCCATGGGAGGAGGGAAGACACATCGGATTCTGCATTGTGGCGATTTCCGTGCGTGTCAAGCTCACCTTGAGCACCCTCATCTTCGCCCAGAGACGGTCGACGCCATAACAGGCAAAACCAAGCATCAAAAGATCGACGTCTGCTACCTCGACACTACCTACCTCAACCCCAAATACTCCTTCCCTCCCCAAAAAGACGTCATCTCCACCTGCGCAGAGATCTCCTCCCTCCTCAATCAAGCTCTCATCTCCGGCGACGACAAAGAATGGGACTCCCTCCTCCGCCGACGAGAGGGCGGCGCCCCTTCCGCCTCGGTCAGCAAGTTCTTCACTGCTTCCAATGACCCTCCGCCACCACCATCTAAACCACACCCTCCCACGCCCCCCTTGAATGCCTTCACCGCCCTCTCGGGCAACAACAACAACCTCCAACCCTCCCAGAAAAACCGCCTCCTAATCCTCTGCGGCACCTACTCCATCGGCAAAGAGCGCATCTGCGTCGGCATCGCCCTCGCCCTCGGGTCCAAAATCTACGCCTCGCCGTACAAGCTCAAAATCGTGAACCAGCTCGACGACCCGGAGCTCATCTCCCTCCTGACTCCCAACCCGCAAGAGGCGCAGGTCCACCTGGCCTCGCTGTCCGACCTCAACAAGGAGAACCTCCTCTCGTATCTCGAAGAGCACCGCCGGTTCGGGTTCGCGAGGATAGTAGGGTTCAAACCCTCGGGGTGGAACTACCGGCCCCCGAGCTTGAAGAGTCTGAATATCAAGGCGGATATGGCGCCTGGCAGTGTGCCGATGGAGCAGTTGCTGTATGGGAAGGCGTGGAGGAGCAGGTTTGGAAAGGGGGACTTGATACCTATGAGGGGTAGCACAAAAGAAGGGGTGCTGCTGGGGGTGCCGTATAGTGAGCACTCTAGCTTTAGGGAGTTGGCGATTTTTGTGATGGGGTTGAGGATAGGGAGGGTGGTGCCGACGGTGAATGTGGGGAGTGAGCAGAGCAGGAAGAGGATGAAGGGGTGGATTGATCGGTGGGTTGGGGAGAGGGGGAGGTTGAAGGGGGGCAGGTTGGAGGTGCAAGAGGGGTTGGATGGGAAAGAGGAGGAGGAGGGGGTGGTGTATTGGTGATGTTGTGTTTTGTTGGATGGTTGACAGGATACAAGGAAGGCAGCATATCAGGGAGAGGCCAAGAGCCCAGTGTAGTTTATGTGTAGCATTATGTAAGAGTTTCAACTTGATGAAGAACAAGAAATCAAGTTGTCATCTTATCAAGAAGCAAAAAAGAAGGCCAAGATATTAGGCTGGTGGGCCAAGAAGCAAAAGGATGTGGGAACTGTGAGGCTCGAACTCACGACCTCAGGATAACTCTGGTGTTAAACAACCAGATCATACTTTTAATCGTATGAGACCTGCGCTCTTCCAACTGAGCCAAGCTCCCTGTTGTGTGTTGAAGTATGATGGTGGAGAAGCGGGTAATATGCAGCTCTTTCTTACCCCACACAATGACTCAACCACACAATCGATCGAAAGTCTTGGGTTTGGCTTTGTAATGGAGGACGACAATACTAACAACACAATAATTGAGAATCACAATTGTTGATGATGGTAATGATGGAAAGAAATGTCGCACAGTGTTGGCTTTGTCGTAAAAAAGACATCGATCAAAACGGGGCTTGCAAAGTACTTGCGAAGATATTTTGCATTCTTCAAACCCTCATGAGCAAATGCACCCTGTTTTATTCCACTTTCTCCATGCCCTAATTATCCCTTCCCCCTTCTCCATGTCGATGTTTTTACACACCGCGGCATCTTTGACCCCCTTTGCAATAATAATAATAGCCAGGGTAGTTTTTTCGCTCGTCTTCCCATCTTCCAACATCGAGATGCAAGAACAACAAATACACTGGTTATCCTTTGCACCCCTTCTTCATTGCTGATACCTCCATACTTTCTTGTCTCTAGAGATAGAGAGACACGAGTTGCTCAAGCCACTTCTTCCTTCCTCTTCGCCTCCGGCCACGTTCTTGTCCTCGACAGCTCCTCACTTCGCCTTCACAGCCTGGTTCGCCGCCTCTGTGTTTGCAGTATTAGCATCTATTTGTTGCCAGTCAGCCAGCAGGGTGGTCAGCAAGCGTACCTCTCCTCGTAGCATCCTCCAACAAGTCAACATCCACTGACCCAGACGGGAGGTGGACATATCTGACTACTGAGCCGCGGATGAAGACATTCTTGACGGCGCTCTTTGATAGCGTTAGCCAAACTCTTCCAGGGTCGTTTCGTCACTGTCCTTCTCTGCCCCCCCTAGATCAAAAACAAGAACAGGAGTGATGACATGACGCAGGCGGGGGTGGGTCTTACCAAGTGAGGATACTTGAGCTCATCCACCACCTGGATGTTGTCGAGCTTGATGTTGAGGTACTGGTCGACGCTCTTGAGCACGCCGCGGATGCGGATGTCGTTTTTGAGCTCGACTGTCACCTCGTGATCGATGAGGGTTTTGAAGAAGCTTTGTGGGAAGTTGGTTAGCATCTGTCTGTCTGAATATGAGCCGACGACGACGAGGTTGTCTGAGATGGGGGTGGGGAGTAAGTGGTGATGGTGGTGGGGGAAGTGGTATGAGGTGTTCCCGCATAATGATCTATTGCCGCGTTTGTCTTGAAACTGTCGGCCGTTCGAAACTGTCGGCGGTTCTCGTAGCGATAAGATGTTTGGATGTGATGTTGACATCCGCCCCCCCCTTTCCCCTCCCTTCCCACCGTTCATACTTCAAGATTCCTCCACTCATGAAAACAAAACATCGATGCCTGAAAGTCAAAAGACGCAAGTGCATACCTGAAGAAGAGCATGTTTCTTGTTGGTAAGGTCTTGTCAAATAATTCGCGCGATATGTGAGTCCTGCTCGTTGAAGGTGTCGTTAATTTTACAGTTTGTGCTCGTTGTCTCTCTTGCGTGGTACTGATGGTGAATGAGCAGCAACAGTGAGCAAGGTGTGGGCTCCCCCCCCAAGCTGGCAGGTTTGCCCCACAATTCCCTGTTCCCGGTGCTGGGTGCGGTTATTGCCTGAAAAGTTAGGCGCGACATCGGCAAGTGCTGAGCTGGCTCACCCAACCCAGCACAACCCTCTCACAACGGATCTAATCTAATAATCTCAAAGCAATACCATGTCTGCTTTTGTGACCCTTTCCCATGTGGGCAAGGGGATAAGAAAAACCTCCGACCGGCCACTCATCTCGCTCTCTTCCCCGTTAAATCGGATATCCATCAAATCGGCTGACCGCCCACTCCACCCGAGGGACCCAATCCACACACGATCAAACCCCCTTCAAATCACGGAGCCATGCAGGAGTCACATCACGGTCTGATCCAATAAGCAGGCACATGCAATATATATCTTGGATTTTATAGATCGGAGCTAAGAAAATAAGCTCTCTGCACGATTGGCTTGGTCAAGTCAAGATCCGATCCTGGTGAGAGAGGATTCGATATATTTGTTCTCTGCATCGCAAAGGTAAAGACTGTATAAACACATCACGACTCCGCCATACTGTTTGATTCTCTTGTTCTTTGTTGAAGCGATCACTCCTGGGTATCCAGACCCGCAAACCTCAATCGAGGCAAAAAAAAACGAAAAGGTATCCGCCCGCTTCAAATGGTATAATGAAAGCAAACGACACAAAATAAATCACTGAAATAAATTACGCTGAAAGGAAGGTATAAATGTGTGTATGTGTTGCGAACATAAAGTAACAAAAGGCGCGCGCGCAATGTTTCAAGAAAAAAAAAGGGGGGTATCCCGTCGTGTCCCATTTCATAAAATATTTGTGCAATCTTTCCATTCCATTCCAGATGATTTCAAAGAATTGGAAAAAAGTGAACCGCCGGCATTCCCATTCTCCTGTCCTGCCCACCGCACCCTCTCCCAACCCGTGCCACACCCTGTGAGTTTCCCACCGACCGAGAGACCGAACGCTATGCTTTGGTTTGCTGCTGTGAGGCGAAGTGTATTTGAAGAGTAAAAAGAGGAAACAGGAAGGACAAAAAGGTCCCATCGGTGTGCCAATGCAAAAGCGCTTATAAAACACTCCAACAAGAAAAAGAAAGAAAAAAGGAGTATCGTTGCCCAATCTGAAGAAGGATCAAGTGTAAAACGCACGGCATCGCCAACCTCCCCAAGACTCCTACACTCCTCGCCAAAACAGAACCAGTCCGGTTGCTTGCTCACGCAATCCCAAAACCTCGAATAAACAAGAGTAGGGTGGCTGTCATAACATCATGACCTTTCTTTCGACATAAGAAAACACTGGGTATAGAGTGGGAAATGCATCCCGTCTTTTTTTTCTTTCGCCCAAGCCAAAACAAAAACTCCAGCGCTCCCCCATTACTCGTCGTCTTCTTCATCTTCAGGAGTCAAGTTTGCTCGCTTCGCTTTCTTGGCCGCCGGCGCTGAGCCTCCGTCCGATTTCCTTTTCGAGGCACCAGTGGACGTCTTTGTTGCCGTATCCTCGAACTTGGTTTCGATGCCATTCGCCTTGTCCTTTTCCATTTGAGCCACTTCATCGGCTGTCAAGAACCGCCCGCCGGGTCCGCGGGGCCTCCGCATGGCATGGTTGTGCCTAGACTCGTGGAGATATGGTCTGCGACCCTTGCTGGTGAGACGGAGCGCTTCCTCCAGCCTTTGCCTGGCTACTCTACGCTTCAAGATCCGGTGGAACTGCTTAGCATTGACATACAATGGCGACTCCTCGACGGCTCCGGAAGCGATTTCGGGGGACTGTGGTGGGGGCATCTGCTGCGCCGCAGTCATCGGAGGTGGGATGGTAGAGCGTGGACCGGCGTGGTTCAGCATGGCTGGCGCATTGGGAACTCCCGGGCTATTAACCTGGCTGAGTCGTCTTTGCTGGGGCATGCTGTTCATCTGCTGAGGTGACCGGGGACCTGTCCTGCCGTCCTTCTTAGGGTTAACACCAGACATCCTCGGCGACTGCTGCAGACTTGGGTCCGATGACATGTAGGGATATGACGATCCGGAAGCAGCAGCTGTGGCGGCCATGGCAGCCGCCTGAATCCCCGGCACAGCATATTGCATGTTGTGCTGGGGCATGGCATACTGAGTTTGATACATGTTGTGGGTTTGCGTCGGCGAGGGTTGTTGGTGCTGAGAAGGGAGTATCGGCGATGTTTGAACTCCGTGAGCTGGAGAGGTGATGCTGTTGCCGCCTGCAGAGCTGGGGTAACCGGTTTGAATATGTGGTTGCGAATGGGCGCTTTGTGGTTGCTGTTGATATTGTGCGTATTCCATCATCCTGTGTAAAGGTGCCGACGAGAAGCCGAGACGAATCGCAACAAAGTCGTGATAATTAGTTGCGCAGAGACGGAAGTAATCCAATAATAGTGGGGCGGTATAAAAGAATCAAGGTGTCGGTTGCGCTGTGAAAAGACTGGTTTACCACTCGGGTTGATGCCAAAGTCGTTCAAGGCTGGTGATAGAGATGCCAGGTCCTTGATCTATCTGGGCTCACTGTGTGGGTTAAAGCTCCAAAGTCACCTTGTACCTGTGGATTGGGCTGGATGTGCACCCAATCTATTGGGAGTGATGCGTTGGCACTCGATTAAAACGTAGGGGTGCCGTGCAATTGGTCGCACCACAGCATATGCAGGCTGATGTAGTCGCGGGGCAAAACTTGGGTGGCTCAGTCCAAGGCCTCTCGGGAGATGGCGTGGGTGAGCGCAGCCACGTGAGAGCGCTGTCTGCGATGCTGTGACGGTGAGCCTGGAAAATTCCCGACTCGCGGCGACAATGGTCTGAACAACAAGAGACGGGAAGCTTGTCAACGGCAACACGACGCAATGTTGGTGCTGGTTCTCTCAGTCTATCAAAGTCCAGAATGTTAGTGCTGGGGGTCTTTGCTGGAGGGCATATAAGTGAGAGGCCAGGATGATTCGACGGGAGGAGGGCGCCTGAGTGGTGGTCAAGTCTCGCTTTTTGGCGCCTTGGGCCAGTGCCAGTCTGATGCGCTGGCATGCATGACGGAATATGCACGACCCAAAGGCCCACCTTGCCAACCAACTCAGCGCGCGCTCCCAAAACCCAGCAGGGGTATCAGCGCCGAAGAGGAGGGGGATGAAGGAACGGTAGGGGAAGGCCAGGCACCACAAGCCTTTGGGTTGGGGAGCAGAGGGCTGATGCGTTCAGACAGCCATCTCTACCGCGGTTGAGAACTGGCTGCATCCATGTCATTACCCCTCTTCCAACAACATGCATCCTTTGAACTTGGATCTACCTCTGTCCAAGGCGGTGGTGTGTTTCAGAGAGAGCTACCAGCAAGACAAGCTGGTAACATTGACAAAGATGTTGACCGGCTGTCTAAACTTGTACGGGTCTGCGACGACCCTACCGAGCTACGGTGATTACATGTGTGCATGTGTGTGTGTGTGCCA